ACACAACTGTAGTGTTGTCTACCATTAACTATATAACTACACAACTGTAGTGTTGTCTAACCATTAACTATATAACTACACAACTGTAGTGTTGTCTACCATTAACTATATAACTACACAACTGTAGTGTTGTCTACCATTAACTATATAAGTACACAACTGTAGTGTTGTCTACCATTAACTATATAACTACACAACTGTAGTGTTGTCTACCATTAACTATATAAGTACACAACTGTAGTGTTGTCTACCATTACTATATAACTACACAACTGTAGTGTTGTCTACCATTAACTATATAAGTACACAACTGTAGTGTTGTCTACCATTAACTATATAATACACAACTGTAGTGTTGTCTACCATTAACATATAACTACACAACTGTAGTGTTGTCTACCAATTACTGTATAACTACACAACTGTAGTGTTGTTGTCTACCATTAACTATATAACTACACAACTGTAGTGTTGTCTACCAATTACTGTATAACTACACAACTGTAGTGTTGTTGTCTACCATTAACTATATAACTACACAACTGTAGTGTTGTCTACCATTAACTATATAACTACACAAAATGTAGTGTTGTCTACCAATTACTGTATAACTACACAACTGTAGTGTTGTCTACCATTAACTATATAACTACACAACTGTAGTGTTGTCTACCAATTACTGTATAACTACACAACTGTAGTGTTGTTGTCTACCATTAACTATATAAGTACACAACTGTAGTGTTGTCTACCATTAATATATAACTACACAACTGTAGTGTTGTCTACCATTAACTATATAACTACACAACTGTAGTGTTGTCTACCATTAACTATATAACTACACAACTGTAGTGTTGTCTACCATTAACTATATAACTACACAACTGTAGTGTTGTCTACCATTAACTATATAACTACACAACTGTAGTGTTGTCTACCATTAACTATATAACTACACAACTGTAGTGTTGTTTTACCATTAACTATATAACTACACAACTGTAGTGTTGTCTACCATTAACTATATAACTACACAACTGTAGTGTTGTCTACCATTAACTATATAACTACACAACTGTAGTGTGTCTACCATTAACTATATAACTACACAAAATGTAGTGTTGTCTACCATTAACTATATAACTACACAACTGTAGTGTTTGTCTACCATTAACTATATAACTACACAACTGTAGTGTTGTCTACCATTAACTATATAACTACACAACTGTAGTGTTGTCTACCATTAACTATATAACTACACAACTGTAGTGTTGTCTACCATTAACTATATAAGTACACAACTCCTTATCAGATCGGCGTCACATTCTCAACTCTGCTCAATTACTACTAGTTGATAGATCCTGCAACAACGGGCAACTGAAGGAGCCATACGTTCAATATTAACTATTTCCGAAATTGGTTTCCAAGATATAACTTTAGAAAACCTCTTCTGATTGGCTTAAAAGTTTGCAACTCGTGTATCCTACTTAGAAGAAAATTAGTGTTATTAATGGAGTGTCTAAGTGCCATTTCGCCACTTTCAGTCTTGATTCAAAAAAGTAAAACAACTTATCTTTCTATAACTTGAATATAATTTCAATGTCTTCCATTCCATAAGTGCTATATGACCCCTACGAAAAATAATCCATAAGAACTACGAAAGCTTTTGACTGATTAAAATTAAACAATTGTGAATGGAATAACTAATGATGGGCTGATGCATCATATGAAGCAGCTGAAACATTCCATAACATTAACCTGGGTACATTCAAATTTCATTGGTCAGATGGACATTTTTTTGTCTTGTTGTCAGTTCGGTTTTGCTATTTTTGCTCAACAGAATGGAATCTTTTAAAGAAAAAACGGCGAGTATGTAAAATTCTGTTTCAAGTTTGGTAAAACCGTCAGTGAAACTTACAAAACACTTCAGGAAGTATTTGACGGCGAAGCAATGTTTCGGACACAGTATTTTGAATGTTTATCTTGATTCACAACAGGACGAACAAGATCGTCGTCAGGGTATCCTGGACTTGATTCATAACAGGACGAACAAGATCGTCGTCAGGGTATCCTGGACTTGATTCATAACAGGACGAACAAGATCGTCGTCAGGGTACCCTGGACTTGATTCATAACAGGACGAACAAGATCGTCGTCAGGGTATCCTGGACTTAAATTCATAACAGGACGAACAAGATCGTCGTCAGGGTATCCTGGACTTGATTCATAACAGGACGAACAAGATCGTCGTCAGGGTACCCTGGACTTGATTCATAACAGGACGAACAAGATCGTCGTCAGGGTACCCTGGACTTGATTCATAACAGGACGAACAAGATCGTCGTCAGGGTATCCTGGACTTGATTCATAACAGGACGAACAAGATCGTCGTCAGGGTATCCTGGACTTGATTCATAACAGGACGAACAAGATCGTCGTCAGGGTATCTAGGACTTGATTCATAACAGGACGAACAAGATCGTCGTCAGGGTATCTAGGATACTTCATGTACGGTGCAAATTTCTTATGGGTCGTATTGAAACATTTGAGCAGAAAATTTGAAAATGAGGCCAGTGGCTTTAAAATTTCTAGCCAGTTTGCTGACTCAAAACCACAAAGACCATCATTTTCTGGTCAAAACAACATCATGGTTGTCCCCACTTTCTCTATTTCCTCAGATCAAGCTCCCTGTAAATTCTTTCTCTTCCCAAACATAAGAATAACACTGAAAAATCGGCGTTTTAAGGACGTGGAGGAGATTCAAGATAATCACAGGCCGCGCTACACCCCGGTAACCAAAGACTTCCATAAGTGACAGAGGTGGCTGGACTCAGTGTATAGTCTCCCAGTGACAGTAATGCGAAGGAGACAAGTCGGTGAATAGGTAAGCCTACTTTTTTTTTGACGGTAAATCAGAATATGTTTGATAGCACCTCTTAACTAAAGAAAGTCTATGCACAGACAACCCGCTCTAGGAGACTAACTCATGACAATGTTTCAGTTCCACGTGGACTATTAACTACTTTACACTGACTAATAGTTCTCCAAGTCGGTCCGAAACGTCGTCATAAATTTCAGACTTATAAGTGAGGGATGTTTGTTGATTGTTTCAGCCACTGTATTGTGCATTTTCATTCTTTCAAGCGAATATCTTATTTGATCAGATGTAAATTACAGTGCCTGATTATACTTCTGTAAATCGACGTAATGCAATATTTTTCCCCATAATATTTTCGTGCCATCAAGACCACTATGAACAATTTTAATATAATATTCCCAAAGCCTCAATAATTACTTATTTATAAACCTATTTAATTACTTATACCTTAAACGATGATCAGACTTACTAAGCGCAAACTGTGGATTACTTATGGCTTGTGTAGTTGAAGGAAGAAATTTGAATAATTTAAATATAGTTTTTCATGTGATAATTTATTAATTCCTCTTTCGATTTTCTTTAACACATGAACGCTGATGATTTGTTCATACATTTTGATTGACTTTAATGTGCTGGTGTATTATAAGATATTGACTTTATTGAAACAACAAGTGAAAGCCTTTTCAGTTTGACTCCAAAGGAGGAGTTTTTTCGTCGATGGTTTGAATTATGTTTGAACTTTGTATTGACTAACTTGTCATTTTTGGTGAAGAAATTCAGAAACTATTTTCCGTGTGATAACTAGTGGATACCTTTTCTGATTTCTTTGAAAATTTTTAATACTCATTTGAAACTTCATAAGTTATGCTGCATTTCGCACTATTCCTTTCGAGTGTATTGACGTACATGTGGCCGAGATGATGCATTACTGGAGGGAATCTTCTCTGATCAAGAAGCGACGTAAATACTTTTAGTTAATGTATAATGTTTAACTTGCGTGATAATGCTGCATCGGTTACATATAACATCTGCATATAAGAGAGTTTAAACATAACGGAGTCAACGCCACAGAATATTAAGAATATTTATAGATAAGAACATTTACACACAAGAACGTCTACACATAGAAGCATCTACACAAAGAACAGATATTTTTAAGAACATCTTCATATAAGAATATCTACACAAGCTCACAAACAAGTCCTTACCTTCCCACCACACAATTTCAACTCATCATTTATTACTGAGGGATCCCGTTGAGGGACTGACTGCATCATATTTACCTCGCCACTACTACTGCCTACAATTGTGGCATGCTAAGAGAATGTTATATTTTATTCAGGGTATGCCTCACTACCAGGAGCCAAGGGTTTAACGATCAAAAGGGATCCGTCGTTAAACCAGTACCTCGGTTCACCTAGCAAAACACAAGAAGCCAGCCAATACTGTGAAGCGATGTGGTACACTCATAAAACAGTTCCGGCAGACTTACCTTCACCGCTGGTCGCTCACGGTTCTCTGTGTCTTATGCTTATTTTGCCTCATTCTACATAATGTAAATACTGTACATAGGCTATAATATACTGTAAATTCCAGCTTGTTATGGTGAAGGAAATATAATTCAGTTGTCTTGTTCCCAAGTGGTAATTGCATTACGGCAAGGTGTGCTGGCCATGTCAACACCTGGGTTCGTAATAATACGAAAGAAGCCTACTGTGTAGGAGAAACGTTTCAACAATAGAGATACTCAGCTGTTACACATGTGTTTTACTCATTATTTAACAATAAGGTTATTAATGCTGCAGCTGTCCAACAGAGGTGCAATTTACTCTCAACTTATTATTCCATAATTGTAATCTAATTATACTGTTGTGTTAGGAACAGATAACAAGATTAGAACAGTTCTGACCAGTATTTAAAATGTTAATATATTCCATGGATCCATACTCCCTAACGTGAATTTTGTTATATTTTATAAATATACTTGCTGCGAAACTGAATAATAATTATAATTATTAATTATATTTTTATACTATAAGTATCAAAAGTTATTATTAGCAGTAGAAATTTCAATTTAATTCCTGACTTTGTTGTAAATATTATGAAATTAGTAAACCTGTGCGTGAGTAGTGTTGAGCCATTAAGTTCCTGAGTGTGACGCCCACGTCAAAGAGTACATGATGTCCTCGCCTCACCACTGAGTCCAGCAGCGTGTTGTACTCTCCCTGGCTCACATACAACAGGCGAGACTTACTCTCCAAGTTTGCTACCTTGTATAGCAAGCCGGATTTAACAACCTGCAGAGTACACAATGAACCTGCAGAAACACTTGTTGTAACACAGAATGAACCTGCAGAAACACTTGTTGTAACAGAATGAACCTGCAGAAACACTTGTTGAAACACAGAATGAACCTGCAGAACACTTGTAACACAGAATGAACCTGCAGAAACACTCGTTGTAACACAGAATGAACCTGCAGAAACACTTCCTTTAACACAGAATGAACCTGCAGAAACACTTGTAGCACAGAATGAACCTGCAGAAACACTCGTTGTAACAGAATGAACCTACAGAAACACTTGTAACACAGAATGAACCTGCAGAAACACTTGCTGTAACCCAGAATGAACTTGCAGAAACACTTGCTGTGACACAGAATGAACCTGCAGAAACACTTGCTGTAACACAGAATGAACTTGCAGTAACACTTGCTGTAACACAGAATGAACCTGCAGAAACACCTGTTGTAACACAGAATGAACCTGCAGAAACACTTGTTGAAACACAGAAATTATTTAAAGAACAAACATCACAATACCGTGACTGAAACAATACATAAATAACCCGCACATACGAAGGAGAGAGAAACTTACAGCGACGTTGCAGTTCGGTGAAAGACATTTATTCTTTGAAGAAATATTTGAATTAATGTTTTTTTTCTATATTCTGGCGCATGCTTGAAAAATATATGTTATTATTGACGTAGATTTTTGAACTCGGGGGGGAAAAAGTATTGATTAGTATTATAAGCAGAAATTCCACGTAGCTTAACATCAATGGTTCACGCAGGTGAACCATCTGCGTTCTCCCAGCCCCCAAGCCTGACCGGAAGTGAGGCTTGCAACCACTGTCCATCTTCAAGGGAAAGATTCAATACACACTCTAGCATGGTCTTAAGGAGAGAGTCATATTCCTTGAGTTTTGGACTGCTCAAGGCTGGAGAGCATCTCAGAAAGTAGGTGAGTTTTGGGATTGACAGGCACCTGGTGAGTAAGTAGAAGGCATCATGTGTGTCAATGTCTTTCATCCTGCTTTCCATCGTCCGGAGGTCTAAGACTTTTTTTTCTAGGATCAGATCAATGGTACTGGACCCAAGAGGAGCACCAAGAAGAGTGCTATTGGCTGGATCAATGGCTCGTGCTCCTGGTAAAACGGAGCTAATATTCTGGATCATCTGTCGATTGGTAGAAACTGTTTCACATTTGGTGGTGTTTAAAGAAAGGCCCAGGCTTTCTCCCATGTCTTTAATTTTACTGATGTCCTCTAGGAGAGATTCTGTTGTGCCAGCTAGGGTACCATCATCCAGGAACCAGATATTGAGCTCGCTGGAGAGTGCTTCTGTGACTTCTTTGATGACCAAACAGAATAGAAAGGGGGCGAGAGGGTCCCCCTGTTGCTCGCTCTCACATGAGTCAATTTCATGGTTCCCAAACAATAGTTTAGAAGTCACACTGTAACACGATTCTATGAAGGGATAAAGGGAAGGGAAGTTTCTATAAACTGCTTGAAGAGCAGCATCCCTTCTGACTGAGTTGAAAGCGTTGGCAAAGTCTAATTTGACCAAGGCTTTCTCATTGGACATGTTTTTGATATATACTCGTGCTGCGTGGGCAGCTGTTTCACAGCCCTGTTGAACTCCGAAACCGAGCTGAGTTGGTTTCAACATTGCAGCAGCCTCTTGTCTCAGCCTTCTTACTGCAGCCTTGGCGACTAGTCGCCGAAGGGTGTTGCCCACTGCAATGGACCAGATTCCGCCATCCTTTTTTCCGGAGGGCACACAATGAGCCACCAAAGAAAAGGGGTCTGATGGCCTCTGGGACACTGCCAGCCAGGCACAGGTTGGAAAATTTGGTGAGTTCAGACAGCAGCCTCTCTGAAACCTCACCAAGTGCTGGACTGAGTATTTGTTTTAAGTGTTGAGGTCTTAAACCGGTGAAACCTCCTGCTGTGCCCTGTGGAAATGACATAGCAGCTTTATACACATCAGCATCCTGTAAGGTATATATATATATATATATATATATATATATATATATATCTTTCTTTCAACACATCGGCTGTATCCCACCAAGGCAGGGTGGCCCAAAAGGAAAAACAAAAGTTTCTCCTTTCACATCTAGCAATATATACAGGAGAAGGGGTTACTAGCCCCTTGCTCCTGGCATTTTAGTCGCCTCTTACAACACGCATAGCTTACGGAGGAAGAATTCTGTTCCACTTCCCCATGGAGATAAGAGGAAATAAACAAGAACAAGAGCTAGTAAGAAAATAGAAGAAAACCCAGAGGGGTGTGTATACATATGCTTGTACATGTATGTGTTGTGTGACCTAAGTGTAAGTAGAAGTAGCAAGACATACCTGAAATTTTGCATGTTCATGAGACAGAAAAAAGGACACCAGCAATCCTCCCCATCATGTAAAAACAATTACAGGCTTTTTTTTTTTTACACTCACTTGGCAGGACGGTAGTACCTCCCGGGCGGTTGCTGTCACCAACCTACTACCACAATATATATATATATATATATATATATATAATATTATATTTTATAATATATATATATATACATATGTGTGAAATGTGTTGTGTGTGTGTGTATGTCGTGCCGAATATGTAAAACTGGTCAATTAGCAAGAACTCTTTTAAAAAATTAAAGTTCTTTCTAAAAATTTTCTCTCATAGTGTAAAATGCGGCTGGGGGGCTCCTTCCGGTCTAGGGTCTCCTCTGAGGGGCTCCCTTTTCACACCTATTGCTAATGACCTGACCCCGCCCACGACCCCCCGCCCCACAAACCCCCGCCCACGACCCCTGCCCACACCCCCGCCCACGACCCCCGCCCACGACCCCCGCCCACGACCCCCGCCCACGACCCCCGCCCACGACTCCTCACCCCGCGCCCCCCCGGGCCCCCCCACCCGCGCCCGTCGCGCCGACCCACCGGCCCCGCCGCGCCCTCGCGCCCCGCCCGCGCCCTCTCGCCCCGCCCGCGCCTTCTGCTGCCTCGTCCGGATCGCCCCCGCGCCCCGAATTTTTTTCCGATTTTTTTGAATTTTTTTTTGAATTTCATTTTCTTATGATCTCCACTTCCTCGAATCAAGTTTTTTGGATTGTCCCTCCCACTTTCACCCCCATCCCAATTTCATTTTCTTATGATCTCCTTGGATGAAGTTTTTTTTTCTCGATAATACCAAGACTCCATCTCCTCGGATCAAGTTTTTGAGGTTCCCCCTCCCACTCTTCACCCCCTTCCCAATTTTTTTTTTCGATAATACAAAGACTCCATCTCCTTGGAACAAAGTTTATGGGTACCCCTCCTTCCACCCCCCATCTCCTTGGATCAAGCTTTTCTCGATAATACAAAGACTCCATCTCCATGGATCAAGTTTTCTAGATAATACAAAGACTCCATTTCCTCGGATCAAGTTTTTTGGATTCCCCCCTCTGGGTATAAGCATTCAAAATGGACTCCTCCTATGAGGCATGGTACTTTCTCTTACTACAGGTCTAAACAAGTGTGACGTCAGTATTCCTCTATCAGTCAAATGAACTAAGAAGGGTGTTTACTCGGCGGTCAGTGACGTCACGTGATGACCTCACACATACAGGCTGAATCTTGTCGACTTCCCCCTGTGTCAGTGACGTCACACACACACACACACACACATACAAGCTGAATCTTGTCGACTTCCCCCCCTACACATTTCATATACAACATAGGGAAAACATTTTCACTCTTAACCCAGGTTAATCCAAATAATTTCACATTTTTTCCATTAATACCCACAATTTCTTCACAAAATACAACACAAGTCTAGACATTTTTCTCGTTTTAACTATTTCATCTCAGGTCACTCCCCATGAAGTAACCTTCTCTCTCTCCTCCTCCCCACCCTCCAGAACCCTCACACTCCAACCAACACCTCACAATTTTCACTCATAACCCCAATTTTTCTTCGTTTTAACCCTTTAGTTCATTAAAGTTAAATAGGGAACTCAGTACATCAGAAAGTCACCACAACACTTATAACCACTTTTTCATAATTCACTAGTCACAATTTTTACATATTACGAAGTTAATACGCACACACACCTCGCTTTGAACACCTTCAAAACACGCTCATAAATCATTTGAATACTCACAAAAATACCTTTGAACATTTCCAAACAACACCGAAACACTTCCAAATAACATTTTGAATACTCCCAAATAAGATTGACAGCTCTAATTTATCTACACTTACACATTTTATTAAATTACAACTCATCCCCCAAACTCCTCCCTCAGTCTCCAGACTTCACAACATTATCACAAAAACTAACTCAAACACTTTACTTTGAACATCACCAAAAAACACCATCAATTGCCTTTAAATACTCCAAAAACATCATTCGAACACCCCCAAAATCACCTCTGAATACTCTCAGAACACCTTCATAAGTACTCTTGCACATCATTTGAACACCTTCAAAAACACCTTTGAACATTTCCAAACAACACTGAAACACTTCCAAAACACCATTTGAGTACTCCCAAATACACCACTGAATACTACTAAAACACCACTGAATGACACTCAAAACACCACCAAAATCACCCACAACCCGCATCACCCTACATCCCACAATCTTTTTTCTCGTTTTAATCTAATTTCATCAGAAAAGTCACAACAACCCACAACTTATAACCACTTTTCAGCATCTCTAGTTCGACAACAACAACACCCACAACCCACAACACCCACACCCCACAATTTTTTTTTCTCGTTTTAACTAATTTCATCAGAAAAAGGCACAACAACAACCCACTATAACATCTTTTTCGGTATCTCTAGTTCGACAACAACACCCCACAACACCCACAACCCACAACACACCCCACCCCCACAATTTTTTCTCGTTTTAACCCTTTATTCATTAAGTTAATAAGGGGAACACCGTACATCAGAAAAAGTCACATCAACAACCCACTTATAACATCTTTTTTTCGGTATCTCTAGTTCGACAACAACACC